GGTTGCCTTTCCGCAGCCAGTAGCGCTTCGGTCTTTCGGCGGCTGGGCGCCGCCGGACCATTCGTCGGGCGGCCTTCCCGGCGTCTGGGAGCCTGCCGGTATGGGCCCGCCGCGCCTCGGAGTAGGCTGGCTTCCGGTGGCTGAGCCACCGGAGGCAGGCAGGTTTGTATTCCGGGCGGCTTTTCCGGGATGTCGTTCCTAGTTCCGTGGACTTCCAAAAGAACTACTTTCCTCGAGGATCCCAGTTCCGAGATCCTCGTAATTCTTCCGGACGTTTTCAATGTACGCATATTTGCATAATTTCCGGTGTGAATTTTTTCGACAAAGGCCTCCGGTCGGCTCCGACGTCGCAGTCCTAAAAAAAAAACAGGCTTTGAGCCCAGAATGAGCACACTTGAAAACAACGTTCGTGGCGTCTGACGATGGTCATGGCTGGTCACTCTACTGACATTGACCGTGCTGGCTTTTCTCCATTGCAATGCCATATCCCGTAGCGCTAAATTTTGGCAGTTTTCCTGCACACAAAAAACCCCTTCATAAGTAATTCTAGCAAAGATCAAGCGGAAACTAATTAAAAACGAAAATAACTAAAATAAAATAAATCAAAGAGAATTAACAAAACACAAAAAAAATAAAAACAAACAAACAATAAAAAAAACCACAAATTTCTTCAAAACTTAAACCAGCTATCCCAACAAAACAAAAACAAAAAACGCCGAAACTCGATATAGTAACATAGATGCGCCGGACAACATGATAACTCATAAAAAAGAAGCCTTTTTGGTGTGACTCTCTCTCTCTATCTATATATACTATACTATACCTATACTAGGTTACTGTAATTTTCAGAACGCCATTCTTCTCTACTCACACACCAACAAAGATCCTATAGCATCTCTTCTTCTGTAACTAAGCACCCCAAGATAAGGACCATCTCTCTCACCTCAAGTCATCATAGCACATCATATCTAGAGTAGGCTGATTATATGGAGGCATCATCTTGCAAACTTACTTTTCTTGTTTCTATGATATTCACAATGCAAATTCAACTTGCTTCACATGTTCTTTCCGATTGTGATTTCTATCTCTTGCATATCCGAGGTCTCCCTTCCATAAAAAACTATGCCACTTCCCTTCGCGAACACACTATTTCTCTTTTTTCTTCTTTCGTTGGGCACCGTAGATCGCCTTAATACTTGATGCTTGTTGCAACTTTCTTATCCAATGATTTGGAGAACTGGAATCTTGACTAAGGGAAGAATAAGAAATGGCCAGCAAAGTATGTAAATTCTATTAAATAGCATAAATGGCGAGAGCTTACCTTAGGAACCTGGCCAAGGAATCCATTGACTTAGACGTAAGAGATGAATAGTGTCCATAAGATAAGTTCACTATTATTAATTTTCTTTATGTCCTCGTACTTTTCCCAATTAAAAGAAGCCATTAGCCCGAAGAGGCTTCATACACCTTTTTTACTTAATAAGCTTTTAATTACTATCTAGCCTCTTTATAAATGCTCCATAAAAGCAAGGGATGATCTTTTTACCTAAAACCAGCCTCTGTCAACTTGACTTAAAAAAAGTTCATGATTTCTTCAAAAGCCGAAATCTTCATTATTCAAAAAGCATTAAGCAAGCTTTTCCAAAGTAAGGGAACCTTAAATTGATCTGCTCTTTACCTTTGGGTTGGCTTTGCCTAGCTTCTCTGATCCTGCTAGTTGCAAGCTTTTGGAATCAAGCCTGTAAGCGAAGACCGCAATGTTAAAAGAAAATATATTAATCAAATAGCCTAAGCATTGGTCAAGGACTTATTACTTGTTGCTGGATTCTTCCCTCTCACCCGCATCTAAGATCAGGGAAAAATGGAAAAGTAAGTCTATAATTTGCCTTAGAGGTTATATCTAGTTGTTCACCTAAGATAGAATTTTATTAAAATCTCCCGAATAACCTATATTATGGCAAAATTTACATATTAATATTATCTAAAATAGTGATTATGTGCCAAACGGAGCCCTTACTAGGAGGACGCCCGTCCCTGGCGTGTCTTTCTCTTTTGTCTATATTCAAAGTATGTCCGGAGAAAGAAAAGCATTAGGGATAAGGATTCAAATCCATTTAGCCTGGATCGTAACTAATCTCTCTTAAATATCTCTCGGGCGCAAAGTGTATGTATGAGTTCAAGTCTCTATAAGAGGTTCAAGCCCGTAATCTTTAACCCTCCTATTGGCTAGATCTCTCAACTCTTACGTTAAGTAGGTAAAAGTGCGGCTAATAAAGGCAGTGGATTAATTTGGGTGTGACTGGATAAGGACGAATAAACTAAAACCAAAATATATAAATAAGGCGGGGCTTTAATATCCCCCCCCTCCCTTTTTCCTCTTTGC